AATTTATAAGAATAAGTGAAAGATTAACTTATAAATACTTCTCTTTAATAAAAGTAATCTTATAAAAAGTAATTTATCATGCAGAATAAATCTGTATAACAATTATATAAGAATCTTATAGAAATAATTAAAGATTAACTAAATCTCTTCAGATTAAAAGATATAAAATAAATCTATATAATAATTATATAAGAATTTTATGAAAATAATTGAGAGTTAACTAAAACTCTTCTGAATAAAAGATATGAAATAAATTTATATAATACTCAGAGAAAGATCTATAGATTATAAAGAATTTTATAAAATAAGAAACTAGATAATAGACTTTTTTTTCCTTATAGTAATAAGAGATTTTTTCTTACTAAGATTTTTTATAGATATAAAGAGTTTTTAATAAGCATTATTACAGTTCTAAGTCTGATTCTATGAAATCACTTAGTAAAAGACTTCACAGATAAAGCTTTAGAGAGAAGAGAGTATTATTAGAAATTTTACTTCTTACAGATTCTTTACTTCTATTCTTATCTCTTATATAATTAATAAAGTTAGTAGCTCTTAACTATATCTAACTAATAGACTGAAGTTCATGACTACTATTCATAACTCAGCTTAAATACTATTATATATTTAATCTCTATATTTATCTTTCTATTATGAATACTTCTAGTAGCTATCAGTACATATCACATCAAGCTGTGAATACTTAGATAACTATCTGTAAGCACTTATTTGTTGAAGGTTCTTCACTGACTCTCACTCACGTGACTTATACATAGTTATATTAGTTACTGCTTGCACTAGAATAATCAATCAAGTTCAACCTCTTCTACATTATTCTTACAAAGAGTGTTAATAAGTTTTAATAAAAATTCTTTCTTATCAAAGTTGTAAAGATTCACAGATTTAATATTATATTAAGTGATTTTTATCTGTAGCTATAAATTAACATTAATTAGCATGAAGTAAAAAATCAGTAGAAAAAAGAAATCAAGTCTAAGATTAAAATAATACTTGAAGTATGTGAAATTATCTGCAATTTTGTGTTTTTGATCAATATTTTAAAAATAGAGAGTGACTTGATTATATTCTTGTGACATTGATACAATTATAACACTCAGTTGATTTCAATAGATGCTTTTAGAATCTCAACAACAAGATTATGAAGGATTTGAGATGTACAAGAGAAACCACAATCTGTCAATTGATTGCTATGAAAAAGAAGCCATTCTTCTTGTGAATCTGTGAGATTTTTGCAGTGGGTAGAGCTTGCTTTCTTTCTTGATATTTGAACACCTCTATAACACTGTGATAATGTATATTGACTGCTTCCATATATTTTTTAGCAGTCTCAGTGTAATTAGGGATCAATTGCTGCTTGTATAACTGCTTCATGGTGCATGTTGTGGGTGTTTGAAGATGGATGAAAAAATGAAGATTGGGCGGGCGTTGGGTCGTTGATCACGTTAACAAGTAACAGTGACAGGAGAAACGAAATACCAAACCCGGTGTTGATCCCATTATGTCATTTTAAGAAATCGAGGTTATACAGGGGGTGGGAAACTGGAGGCTCCTATCAAGCGTGTTTAATACTTTGGAATCTCACGTTTGGTATATACAGCAGAGGGTTTGTTTGTATGGTGGGAATTGGTAAATAATATTTATATATAGTCTCTGGAGAAAAAATGAGTAATGTGAGCTGAAACAGGTAGTTATGTACTGTGATATAGACATGTGTGAGAATCATGCTGGAGGGGCTGCATCATGTTATATGATAGCAGAGAAGACCAAAAAAGGGAAGACGAAAGAGATTAATGAATTAATGAAAAAGAAAAAGAAGGCGCCAGTGTTTCCAATGCATATGAAGCTGCCGTTGTTAATAAACCGGGGCGTTCGTCCAAGAGGAAAGAAAATAAAAAGAAAATAAATTAATTAAGTCCGACACGATACATAGTGATAGTGATAGGAGAGTAGGAAATGTGGTTGACTTAATGATAGCTTATACGAAGGAAAATTCCTAGTAGTAGACAGGATGTTGCTGTGGGGATAGTGTGATGGAACAGGCAGGGAGTGAAACAGCGTGTATATAAGATGAAGCTTTATAGAATTATGAAATGAGACGACATATCTGAAGAAATAATAAGACAGAGAGAAATGAACATATTGGGTATCAAACGCAGGTATAAAATGGTAAAAACAGGAAAAGTAAAGGGAAGAAAAGAAATTAGAAAGACGCATATCAAACGATCGAAGATGATACCATAGCCACTGGAATCAAGGTTACTCAAGCAAGCTCTCCTGTAGTGACTCCTCGTCAATTGCCTTGGGTTGTACTGCCGTAGGTGCCTTTGCTGGTGGGCGGAGCCCCGGGATAGGACCTTTTTGGTTCACCCCGGCTGGTCTGCCAAGTGTTGTTGAGGCCGGTGTTGAAGAGGAGACAGATGAGGCGTATACAGATGACGCAGGAGAGATGGGTGGAGGCGCTGGTGGCCGAGCCGAGGATGCCAACGACGAACGGCGTGAGGATATGGGTGAACGCGAGTCCCTCGCTGATGCTATCGGTGTCATACCCCATCTGCCAAGAACCCAGCCGCCGACCCGCTTACTGAAACTGGCTGTCTGACGAGATGCGAGGACATCGTCCGGATGGTGAAGAGGAGATGAGTTGCTGGGTAGGGAGCCTGGTGGCGTTTGGGTTGGGGTTGCGTTCGGGTCCGCTGCAGATGCAGCGGCGACTGAGGAGAGCAGGGAGCGTGAGTCGGAGCCTTTACCCCCATTGCTAAGGGACACAGTAGGGACTATGACGTTCGTTCGTGAGATTACGGGCGGCGTGAAGGAAACTTCCGTGCCGGCGGATGTTATACGGCTGGGTGTTCTAATAGGGAATGCTAAATAGTGACTAAGAATTTGGGATGGGTAGGAGCGAAGCGTATGGATATCCATTCCAGAAATGGAGAGGAGACTGTCATGAGAGGACGCGCGTTTCACTTTGTGATATTGTAGCTGCGAGGAGAGTTCAGGTTCAGGTTCATGCGCAAGCTCAGATTTGTGAGGACAAATTGAAGGTTGAGGTTGTATTGGTTCTTCATTGATCGTTTCCTGAGTTGGTGAGTTTTCTGCCTCTTCCATGATGGGAGGTTCGCAATAAGGTATATTCTCATCAGTGAAAAATTTACCGCTTTGTTCTTCGATTTTATCACCTGGAAGAGCTATAGACGTATCCTGCAACTTAACCGGGCCAGATATAGATCGAAAGGGGATATCAAAGGATTCTTTGCGATGACGGTATGGCCTAACACTTGGAGACGCAAAACCAATACTCTCTGGGCTAGTAGGGCGAGAAGACTCAAAGCCATGGTCCACGCGATCGAAAATTGACGAGGTTCTATATGTAGATTGTGGAGAATTAGGCATTGACGACGATAGCGACCCCGCTGCTGCGGAACCGGAGGCTTGAGACGACCAACTGCGGCCATTCGAGGGCGGAGGGATAGAGACTGAAGTTTGGGAGAGTATGGTTGATGTTGACGAAGTAGAACCATGTGGACGGTGTGGTGTTTGTGACATGCGTGAGGAAATGCGAGGCGACTCGAGAAGCGGAGAGGAGATCATAGGCCTCTTTCTCCTCTGGCGACGGTGTATCGGGATTTGTACCCTTTCCTTTCGCTGGGAGACAGCTGGGGTAGGCGAGTGGTAGTGATGATGGACGTGAAACTCCTGGGATGCCACTGGCGGGAATTTCGCATCCAGTTCGTCACTAAGCGGAAGTGCCTTCTGTCGTGGCTGTCGTTCATTCCGCTCCGGAGTCAGTGGTTGATGGAGGAGAACCTGTTCCCGCAGGTTCTGCACCTCCTCATTTGAGTTCTGAAGCATTTCCCTGAGCTCAACGATGCCCATTTGCAGGTTCGCATTATCTTGCAAGATGTCGCGCACGAAGTTGCTAACCACTCCCGGCTTATTCTGGCCAAGTGACGAGGCAGCAGCAGCACCTTTGAGTCGACCCGCAGCGCTATCCAATTCTCGTTCAACAGCCCTCCTCCTCTCCATCCGCGCAAGTAGCTCCACATTCCTTTCCCGTTCCTCTCTCGACTCCTTTTCTATCCTCTCGAGCTGGTCTTGAAGGTCTCGCAAAGTGAATTCGGCTTGTCTCCATCGTTGGATAGCTGATTTCTCATCTTCTTTGGTGACGATAAGTTTTGCCTGTAACTCCTCTTGTTCCTTCTCCATCGCAACAATCTGCCATTCGAGTTGGGCTACGCGCGACGCTGAGATCGACAATTGTTTAACATGCAGCTGTGTACTCTCGAGGGAGTCCGTGAGTGACTTGATCTGCGCATCCGATTCTACGATCAACTTGTTCATTTCCTCCAGTTGTTCCAAGAGCTCGCGGTTTTCTTCGATGATCCGCGCATTTTCGGCTTGCGCCTGGCGCTTGTCCCGCTCGAGATGTTCCATTTCTAATAGTAACCTGCTTCGATCTCCTTCTGCATCTGTCATGTAAGATTCATGGCGCTGCAATAATGCCTAGACCCGCCAGGCAAAGGGAGCAATAGAAAATGTCAGCAAGTACCCACGAACAACAAAGTGACAGCAAAGTCAAATAAATATAAGAAATGAAGAAATGAAGAGATGAAAAAGAAATGGAAATGGAATAAAATACCCACCTGGCCTAGCTGGGCGGCAGTTTCGACGTCTTTTTCCAGATCCGCCAGCGCAGCAATGTTATGTTGGAGATAGGCACATTGTGAACTCCCACAACAGCATTTCAGCGCTGTCGAATGATGGAGACGCGGGGTGGTTCTTAGCGGACCTGCGTCATGCAGTGAAGGGAATATGTGGTCCATTAAGAGAGGCTATATGGGCAGTCTAACCACGAAGACCATTTTTCGGCGCCCCGTATAGCGCTGTCCATGTATAGCACCAGCTCTGCACCACGACAAGGAGCCGGCCCGAAAGCGAATGAATAGAATGTTTAGCTTTGAACTGATGAAGGAGAGAGATCGTGTTTCATTAATGAGTGTGTTGGAACAGCGGTAGTGGGCACAGAGAGAGTTTCTGCCCGGCTATTCTTAGAAAAAAAAGAACACGGTCGGTGGAAGGTTGGGTGGGGGAAGCAAAAGTTCCCATGACGCCAAAGCAGGGCTCATATAACTATTTATGCTAAAAACCCAGAGATGCGCCTTTGATTTGCCCAGCCACAGCCATTCTGATCACGACTCATGGCTTCGTAGGTTCGGCTTAATTGGTTTTTACCTAGCTCATATGGGAATAAGCAAACAATGGTTCCCAAAACACATTGCCTTTGTTCATTAAAATGTCTTATTGTTCGATCCATCTGCGCAAACTCACTCGATTCCTGCCATATCTACGCGACAGTTGTTCCCCTTCCTATGGTACAGTACCCAACTACGAAACCTTTGTTTGCTAGTATACAATGCCCCGCGCGAGGGGTACTTTACTTGGGAGCAAAGAATAGAGTTGGCACACCTAGCTCTTTATCCTCAGCTACCCTGGTGTCTCCCTTGCCCCCAGCATTTACAGCACACTATCGTGATCTTAAGAAGGAATAGCAGACGGCGCATCTTCTTTACAGATCCATCCCCGGACCTGCAGTTGGACTAGGAAGAGTCGCGGGCGGTAAGAAAACCCGGGATGTGCTGTCCGGCCACGGAGACCCTTTTTGCGTGTAGAGTCACAAGTTTCCACTTTGAGATCCAGAATATCTGATAAATAGATCGTATGTATGAGTGAAGACAGTTGGTTCTGGGTATATAACGCATATAGTGCAAGTTTATTTTAGTAACAGACCCCTTTGATTCCTCCCAAAACCGGATTCTATCGTTTGTATATATATCGTACAATGGACGCCGTGTAACGACTTTTCGTTGCGTGATCGCAATGGTTCAGGCTGGAGACTTTCTCTCTGCCAGTGCTATCTCCAAGCATAGGAGGGAAATTGCACTCCTCATGCGTTTATCCTTTCCGACCACTTTGGCGCCTTTGTTCCGTCAGAGACAATGGTTTCTTGCTTGCAGAACGAAATCGAATGGAATCGAATGCGTCCGTGGGTTTGCCTTTCCGTCTTAATAGCTGCTGCGGCGGCGAGGCGGGCAGGAGAATTGGATGATATCAACCGGCTATGTTGCGCTTTGACTGGCACCTACCCCGGCACCACTGTCTATATTCTCCCCATTTCCGCCATCCGACACCGTTTGGAGTTTTCTGTACTCAGCCTCCAGCGCCCGCTGCATCTCAAAGTCCGCTTGTCGCTCTCGCTTGATCCGCTGGTTTTCAAGATCTCGTTGCACACCGGCATGCATGGCCTAGAGGTTATTCGTAACAAATCAGCATTCAGCCGTAAACGAACGGGACGTAAATGTAGCTCAATCGACTAAAACATACAGCCTTGTCAGCTTCCTGCGTCCAGTGGACAAAATAGACGATGCCGACAGTCATCAGCGACGTGCCGGCCAAGGTAAGTTTGGAAGCCCGCGACATGGTTTCCTCCTATGTGTTTTCCTGTGTGGTACGATTGAGATAGCTTCTGGCTTTTCTAGGAAAACGGTCTCCTTCAGATCCTTCTCGAAAAATTGAGGTCTTTATTTAGCAGTTGCGAGGTAATTCCCAAAGACACTGTCGAACGGTTTCCCGGTGGATTTGTCCCGGAAGCGGTGTCAAGCGGCAGAAGCGGCGAGGTGACCTTGCTCCAACCTCAAGCCCGCATCAACGTCGAGCTGCCACGCGCGGAGCTCAGGACAAGGACAGCGTCCAACAACACCACGACTACATGCCAACGCCGATCTCAGCGGATTGTACTTGAGAAGAGATCGAAATTATGGTGCGCTTCTTATTCCTTCATGTAACCCCTTTCAGGCATCATTCATCTTGCTAACTATTGCTGTCTCTTCTAGTCTGCCCAGAACTCCGCAGGCATCCAGACCCTGCTTGATGTATGTCCGCCTTCAAGCTATCTCTAACTGCACTTCTCCCCGTTCACACCCACGGCCTACTCAAATAGAGAATGTGGAGAATTAACAAACATTTTGTGGGCAAATAGGCCGAGAGAGAGGCGCAGAAAATCGTACAGAATGGTAAGAGCTTCCAAACGAGTGGATTCATCTTGCCAATACCCTACCTAACCTGCCGTCCCCCCGTTCTTGAAGAAACAGATTTCGCTAACTCATTCTATTTCATTATTCTAGCCAGAGAATGTGCGTAACAAATTTCCTCTTGCAATTACATCATACGACACTTATCAAATGTCGCTTCTCCAAGCCCCTTGACTCTAACTTGATTCCCATGTTTGTGTAGACCGCACGAAGCGCGTAAAGGACGCCCGAGCTGAAGCACAGAAGGAAATCGAAGAATACCGACAGAAAAAAGAAGAAGAATTCAAGAAGTTTGAGGCTGAGGTGGGGAGATATCATACTTTCCTTCAATTACCCCACTGGAGATTCGTATTCTCCCTTGTATTCCCATTCCAAAGAAACATACACACACACACACATATATATATATTACATAGATATAAGAAAAGTGATTAGACGGCTAACTGACACCCGCCCTCCCTATTTTATTTATCTCATTTAGCACTCGAGCGGGAACAAGGTAGCCGAAGAGGAAGCCAACAAAGAAGCCGAAGCCAAAGTCCAGGAGATCAAGGACATCGGTCAGAAGAAGGGCGGCCAAGTCATCGAGGATCTCATCCATGCTGTGACCGAAGTTCAGCCGCAACTACCGAAGAAACTCGCGAAGAATGCCTGAGTTTATTTATTGAATAATGAGCGAATTCCGACCGGGGGGGTTTTGAATGTGTGCGGCAGCGTGAAAGCTACTAATGGGATCAGGGTGTAATGATTTTTTTTTGATTGTTCATTTTTCGTCATGTTTATACTGCTTTTTGCTTTCTCTTTTGGGATTTTTTTTTCTTTGTTTTCTTTTTCTTTTTCTTTTTCTTTTTCTTTTTCTTTTTCTTTTTCTTTTTTTATTTCTTTTTCTTTCTTTCTTTTTTTTTCATTTCTTCCTTTTTAAATACTCCTCGAGAGGCATAACTACACTTCTTTTTCTCAGATCCACTCCAGGAATATTCCAGGCACAGGCCCTATCTACGAGGTCTACTTACATAACGAGGTCGGATGGCTTAGCGAGGTCGACTTTTCTGATTCCTACGTGTCAAACTCAGGGCTTGATTGCATCTCCTCTCTTTCTCGAGCACATTGCCCTTCCAATATATAGATAGCCCTTGATTATCTAGTAAAGAGTGAAGCTATCTTCCTCCCTCCCAGCGGCTCTCGGACAAAGGGTGTGTAGCCATAATTAGCTGTGTGCTGTCGGCGGATGAACAGCAGGCAGCGGGCTGAACCTATAGCATTATATATAGTGTACATACTGCATCTTGAAATGTTGTAACTGGCTTGAAAGCTGGTACGGTCAAAATCTAGACGGTCGGAAAAATTTTTGATCCGAGAGCCCCCTTACTCCGTAATGAACTGATTTTCGGCTCCGCGCCTAGTGCAATTGCACTCCCATCTAAAAAAATCTCGAATCTCCCCACGGGTTCGCCTGTTGTAGTAATAGAAGGATATTGCGATTACTCATGCCCACATATGCATCCATTGACCACCGAGCTAGTTCCTCGCAGTAGCAGCACCACTTGACGGTTCGATTAGCCCAGGTCTCCCGGTTTTGTTGCCTTTCTATCCAGTTTCTTTCTTCAGTAACTCGAACGGCAACATATAGAGTGCAGATTCTGTTTTTGAGTCAATGTCAATAGCTTGGCTAAGACGGATCGCTGGGACTGTGCTTGTTTTGTTGAGGTTTGTCTCAGCATCATGATGCTTATTCACTTGGTTCGGTTCCTGTGATGGGTCAACAGATCTTTCCCTATGCAGTCTCCTTTCGTGTAAGCACTCTACAGAGTAGACACAATCCACATGCATGCATGTTCATATTGTTGACATTTCTCCCCGCCGCTAACATCCTCCTTACATACATAGCAGTAGAGTCTCTGACGTTGGCGAACTTTTTTTGAAACCCATCCTTCTTTTTTGCCTTTCAGCCCGCATTTCGTTCAATAGAACGCAAGCTGTGGTTTGGTCATCATCTCGATCCTGAGATCTGTCGGTTCTTTTGTTGGGTTTTGTATTTTCTCGCATCACTTGGGTACTTGCTCTCTTCCGTAATTGCCGGTCCATATCTGAAAAGCGTTAGGCACACGATGAGAAGCACATTCTAGAAGACCATTACCTCTCAAACCAGAATCACTTTGCTTGCTGCCGTGGATGAAGCAACTGTTTGTGTACTAAACTGTACCTTCACCAGACCATGAAAGCGAAGAACATCATATTAGCTCTGGAGAAATTTGTGCTCGAGCCTTTAGCTTTAATATCCTTCATTCTAGAGTGGAAAGGTGCCAATTTGGTCCATTTTGACATGATCCATTGCGGAGCGATGTGATGTGGCTTATAGCTCTCGGGCAGTCACCCTCTGTGCGCCTCGAATGGGGGCGGGTATGCCATCCTCATTTCAACAAATGTTGGACGGCAGTTGTCCAGGGCCTGTACAAATAGTTACACTATCGTTGTTAATCTGCTGTGATCCCTTTGCATGAGGATATCACGGACTCAAGCTGGGTTTGTATATCGAACTGGCACTCCCAGGTGATTGACGCAAGTATCCCGGCGCCCCGACGCAGTCTGGCCTGGTTTGCATACTCCAGGTCATTGGGCTTTGCTGTTGCAGCCACCATCCCACATGTACTGCAATAGCCTAGGTGAAGAGCACAACAGCAACCACACTAGAAGCATGTTAGAGCACTCCTGTGATTCCTGGATCACAACCTTGAGCTTGGTGTGCATGGACTGCCGAGATTCTGTGATTAATCACAACTATTGCAAAATCTTGGGCAGTAAAGTCAGGTGCTAGACACAACAAGACAAAACTGTAGTGGGAAGTTATTGTAGGATGGCTAAATCTCTTGTATTCGTGTGGGAGGAGCTAGCTACGTTATATTACATATCAGATCACGTGCAGGCGGACTGTACAGAAAAAAAGATAATATGAGCTTGCTTCTTCAAATTACTTTCACACAGAAGTTTGACAACAATGACTGTCTGTATGATTGAATCAAGCTCTGATTCTTTAGTCTCTTCACAGAATGATGCAAGATTTGCAGAGCACATCTGCAATCAAATTCAGTCTCTCATTTCACAACTACATCAGCAGAGAGAGTGTCCACCTGGCTTTATCAGTTCCCAACTCTGGAAACTGGTCGATGGCTCAAGACATTGTGCATAGAAAGCTTGCGCGTTAGCTGTAATCTCTTCCTTGCAGGATGAGGGCCTGCTTAAATCCCGGCCTCATTTCTGTCCTTTGGAGTGTATCACTCGAGAAATTGCCTCTTAATGGTTGTATGAAACTGGGGATTTCCCGCAATGTCTTATCCATCGATCCCTTGATTGGAAGATGGGAACCTGGATATTCAGTGTTCGGCGCGTCCTGGAACTGCGTGGCCCCTTAGCTTTAACACCCTCAACTCTTCCCAACTCTTCCCAATCTTTCAAATGATATGAATGGGGTGACCAGTTATATTCTTCTCCGGATTGAGGACTACTAACTAGTCAACCTTGAGTGTATCCCGGGGGCGGCTAATTGAAGTTCGCTTTCTTTAGGGAGTCTCCATGAATTTTACTATTCAATGGATGTTGAGGGCGCCAATTTCTCCCTTACTCTAAGCTCTTTCACCTCTCATCCTCACCGCCAACATTGTCACAGCATGGATATAAAAGGGTGCTCATTTCTTGCCAGAGATGAGCTTCTATAGATACAGAAACAATGCACTTGATACCCAGATTTCTAGTTTCTTAGACTTCAACTTTGCTCTTTTTCAGCAATCACTTTTATGTCTTCTTTGTCTTTCAATTCTATCTTTCTTTTATCACTAACTACTAAGAGTGCTCTCTTTCACTCAACAACAATTCTCATTTCCTCAAAATGATCATGACAAATTATCTCTCTCTATCTATCCTTGATGAACTTGTGTGATTCGCTGAGGAGACAGCATTGTATGAAGATTCAATTAAGATGATGATATCAGACATTCTCAACTATTATTTTTCAGAAATAAATGATTTTACAGTTGCCTCAGAGCAAAACCGGCAGGAGAATATCACAGATTTTATCATCCTTCAGTTCCAACAACAGTTCCTCAGTGACTGTGATATCATTAATCACACAGTAGCTGAAGCCAAAAGAGATACTGACTCTGTCACAGCTGTATTGAAGCAGCTTGAGAATGTCCTTGAATAAGTCAATACTGAATTTAGCAGGTGCTGGGCAATGCTTATTCATGGGTGCAACTTTCAATTTTTTGAATGTCACATTCACCTGTCTGTGGGTGAACAGCTTATCCCATGGGATCCTCTGAATCAACCATCTCAGAATTTGTTCCATTGTCAAAATGATAGCGTAACTATCGATTGGATGCTGCGTCATATGGGACATAACAACACTCCACCAGCACGCTAGTGACTGCTTGCACTGCCATGGAGATATCATGATGATGGTTATAAGAGGTTGGTTGGAATGCGTGAAGGGGTATTGGAGGCAGATGACTTTGTATTTGCTTGTTTGCTGGTAACTAATTATGCATATTCAAGAATACCTCATCTCAGCGGAATATCATGCATCATCCAATCCGTATGCTACAACCGGCAAATGCGCAATTAAAGCGGAGATACTGTTATTTTGTCTATCAGTATGACAGCAAAAAAGAGAAAAAAAGAGAAAAAAAGAGAAAAAAGGAGAAAAAAAGAGAAAAAAAAAGGAATTGTGTGACAAGGCAGCTTAGCAATGTCATGTTCAAACGCTCCTAGAAGCATTATTTCGGGCTCTAAAAGGTTCATTGTTTCGCTAGAATTAGGAGGAGATTTGTTGGGGGGCTTAGCTACATATTTGTAAATTCTGTGTATACAATTTTGGGCATTGGTAATCAGCGATACAAATTATATAGGCTCTTCCTCTCTCTGTTGCGACTCTTGTAATGTACGTACCCGTCTCTTCCTTTCAAACATTTTGTTTTCTTTTACTCTTTCTTTGCTTCTTATCGTCCTCCTTTTTCCTAGACACGGCTTCTATGCTCGAACCTCCTCTTGCCCGCAGCTAGCTGGTTGGCTGTGGGTGAAACCACTGAAACCATGATGAAGCACGCCGAGGGGCGGCTGGCCAACAACTTAGTGTCGTCTCGGAGTTGTCGAAACACACCAAAGACACCCCGACCGCCTGATCTACCGCCGTTCCCCAAGTTCACCCATGCCATGGCCCACGGCGAGTTGGCAACCGGGTCTTCTCGCCTATTCGGACTCTTTCCCTACTACGACCAGAACGACCAGAACGATCTCCTGCGGTCCTTTGCCTGGCCGTGACTTCTGGCAGCTGGGCCAGCTCGCCAACCAAGTTGACAGCCTTCCTTCTCTTGGCAGGAAGGTTACATGTCAATACATGATGATGCAGATATCCTTCTCTGCATGATCAGCGCAATGTTGCCCTAGAGTTTGATGTCTCGCGTCCCCCCTTTTCGCCCAAATCTCCTATAGGTTCGCTGTATCCCATCCCGTTCTGGCTCAGGAGGTCCGCTATCCTGAAGATCGATCGAGGCCGACGAGGGGTGACCTTTGGTTTTTACTTTTTTTTTTTTTTTTTTCTTTCCGTTCTTCCTCTCTTTTGCTTTCTACGCTTCTTGCTTGCAGAGGCGTTGAACTAGTTACCATTCACACTCTCCGTCGCGTGTGAGGACAGCAAAACCTGCGACAAATCGTGTCCTGCTTTTCTTCTTTCCCCCTCATAATCCTTCCGATTACATTCGCGGAGCTGGGTGTTTTTTATTTTTATTATTATTCGCCTTTAATTTTTAATTGCTCTGAATACTTTGCAAGCTGGTTTGCTCTTTGGTACAACCAAATATTTTCTTTCACCCTGCGGCTTTTGTTGACATACAGTCAACAACCATTGTTCTGATCTCTGCTCGGCACGGTGGCCTGGCCCTGCCTTTATTTAATACATCGTACAGGAGTTTGAATACGGGGCTACGCTACTTTCCCGGTTGGGTTTCACCAGGAATCTCCAATTATCGTCCACAATGTTTTGATAGACTGACACGTTCTTCGGCTTGATCTGTCTGTCATAGTAATATTTCTTGCTGGACTGACTGTTAGCTGCCACTTGTTTTTTGCTTCCATCTTATTCCTGAATCTCAGCGCTGTGCCACCAATCTTCGCAATTTGGTAGTAGGAAGAAGGACCCCCTGGCGGCGCATGGATCGCGAGTTTTGTTTTGTTTACCATTCGGCTATTTGAAGACCTGGCCATCAGGACGGGGGAAGAAGCCGCGAGGAACGAGCCTGTGCGACGAAGTAAATAGCCGTTGTGGGGAAGAGAGATACAGTCTCTAATCTGGGGTTCTCCGGCCAGATATACTCTTCTTTGCCAGCTCTGTCCCTCATCCTTTTTCGAGCAAAAAGGGAATAAATATCTGATGCATTTGTGATTCTAAGCGTGAAGAACCCAGGAGAATTACTATGGAACGTTCGACTTCGTTGTCAAGAGAAGAGGAATCCCCAGGAACGGCTCGGCAGATCAATGGCTTCTTCCGTAATCAAGCTGGGTCCTTCTTCCGCAGCACGTCACGCATCGGTGCTCCAAATACGAGATCTACTTCTTCTTCTAAGATACGAGCACCACGGATAGGACTCTGTATGTTCTCTGGTGAAAGGACCGAACGTCTTCGACCATTGCAGAGTGATTACGCAGCTAGATATAGGAGACCCCCGCCAGTTGGTCCTTCAAGCATTGAATTAGCTGAAGCTGGGCTATCGGGACCGCACGTTCAAGTTCAAGGACGTCAGAATTCCTCACATCGCAGCCGGTTACAGACCAGCGCAGGAGTTACACTGGCCAATTCTGGAGCACAGGCAAGACGAAAACATGCCGATGAGTCAAAACGGGAACGCTTCTGCGGCGGACCTAGGATGAGATCCAAGGAAGCGAGGAAGAAGGTTGTTGATTGCGCCTTGGCTGGATTTCTTCTGATGATCATTTTCGTAATATGTGAGTCCTTTCGGTTCTGTTTTTATATGTGGACTCGCAGAAACGCGATATATACCTTTTTATCAAACAAATATCCAAATTCACAGTCTTCCCCTAGATAAGTATACTTACGGTTACTAGATCTTGCATTATCCCTCTCTAATACCATCGACAAGCGCGAATTCCACATTGTGTTCATACTAGCTCTCATAATTCTCGTGATATATTTCTGCCACTCCTTTATCCGCTTCTTCATGCTGGCATGGCGGTCACCCCCGGCACATCCTCCTTCCGCTGCACCAAAAGCAGTCAGCACACGTGAATACGTCCAGCCCGATCAGCCAATACCTGTAATTCTAGCTCGAGATGAGGAGATCGTGGCGGAAGTGGATGCGGACAACCACATCGGCCGCAACGGCAACTTGAGTGGTCTGCCTCCACCACCCCCGGCTTATGGCCTCTGGAGGAACAGTGTGGTAAGTACTGTATATCACGTATATACGACTGTTTCGTTCATTGATTGGATTCCATATCGGACTTGTGAACATGTTTTGACTAATGAACCAAATCTAATGTAGAGAATAAACCCGAACCTCGTCCACTGGCGGCGACGTGAGCCAACCGGTCCGCAACCAGGAAACACTGAAAGCGAGGGTCTCAATAACGGACCCCATCGGCCCCCGAGCTATATTTCGGACGATGGCGTTCATTACGTCGTTGACATACAGCCACAGTCGCGCCTGCGCGCTCCTGACGAATCAGACGTTCATCCTGCAGAGCGATTGGGACAGAAGCAGTAAAGATTGTATTGATTTATTTTATCCCTAGTGGGGTAAAAAGGAAATTTGTTGATATATTTTCCATTTCTCATTCTTTCCACTTAGGTTTGATTGCTAGCTTGCTAGGCGTTTTTAAAAGGTGTCTTGTTCCTGAATTCTTATCTATTATTTTTTTAAATTTTTTTTTGTTCTTATACAAATACTTGTATTTAGGCTTGACTTTTGTATATTCGCATGGTCTTTGATCCGCCGCTGTTCCGCACCACACTAAGTACCCCTGAGAAAATAAAAATAAAGTTAAATAGACTATATATATATGGATATGTGAGAATAAAAAGAGGGAAGTACATATTTCAGTGTAAATATAGAAACATATACACGGGGGCTTGGCACGGGATGCGGAGGCTGACATAATATGCTCCGCCGACTGATGAAATGTGTTCGTTCTGTCGGCGACATTACTATTCCCAATTCAAAACATCGAACCCCTTGGCTTATACCCGTGTCAAACCAGTATGGGACGGAATCTGGGGCAGTATCTTTTCTTTTCTTAATTTTTTATCTCTGGGAACATACCAACATATTCGCGTCCTCGAGCCCTCACGCGGCGGGCGGAGCTTGATCTATAGCGGAAAAGTGAACAGAAACATTTTTTACATTTCTTCACGCAGTCATTTCGAAGAGCCACACTGACGGGGCGGGAAACTCTCGATGATATCCCAAACCTCCCGGTCACTTTTCGTCTAATCGTCGGGGATGCTCTCGAGATGCCGGCGTTGCTATTTCAGATGTCTGGCTTTCCAGGCGGTGTGTCATGTACGGTTGCCCGTTTGGCGCTCGCTATTGTTTCGTGTTCTCTCCTTTATTGATTCTATTCGTTAGGGCCATGAGTGGGAGGCAAATTAGGGAGTTGAGGTATGTGAATTGTTAGCTTTTGTATTTCTGGCTATTCCTATGGGGATGGAAGCTCAGGAGTTACTTTGGTGGGGGTCGCCCCGGAGAAATAGTTTATCTAGGAACAGAGAGCTAATTTTACTTCCGGCTTACTTCTATCCCTTTTTAATAGAGAGGAAACAGAGCACATGTTCTACCACGGTTTTGAAAATTACATGGAACATGCATTTCCTGAGGACGAATTGCGCCCCGTCTCTTGTCGCCCGTTAACGCGCGATCGCGAAAACCCCGCCCACGTAGATCTTAACGATGTCCTGGGGAATTACTCCCTAACACTCGTCGATAGTTTGTCTACTTTAGCGATTCTCTCCTCCTCCCCGCCTTTGTCGTCTGGTTCGAATTCAGATTTGGAAAGCCCGCGCAAGGCGTGGGGATATTTTCAGGACGGAGTGCGGGATTTGGTCGAGCTTTATGGCGACGGGTCAGATGGACCGGCTGGCACAGGATCGAGAGGGAAAGGATTCGACTCCGATAGCAAGGTCCAAGTGTTTGAAACAGTGATTAGAGGATTAGGTGAGGAGAATGTGACTCCCTTTTAGCGGACATACCAATTCATGACCAAATCTAACCGTTGATCGTATCCAACAAATAGGGGGCCTCCTCAGCGCGCACCTTTTCGCAGTAGGCGAATTACCTATCCGCGGATATGAGCCCCCGGAAGACGAAGCCTCCTTTGCGAAATTATGGGATAAAAGCGGACATACCAAGGGCAACCCTGGGATTCGATGGGAAAATGGATTCGTGTACAACGGACAACTTCTTCGTCTCGCGATGGATCTTGGTACCAGGATCCTACCCGCTTTCTACACTCCAACTGGCCTTCCATATCCTCGTGTTAATTTACGGCGTGGCGTTCCATTTTACACCAATTCCCCGTTCAATGCGGCTGCTGCACCAGAAACGGCGGCTCGTATCAGTAATGATCAAGGCAAACAACAGGGGAAGACTACTCAAAAACCGGAGGTTACAGAAACGTGCAGCGCAGGCGCTGGGAGTTTGGTTCTGGAATTTACGGTTCTTAGTAGACTTACTGGTGACGGGCGTTTTGAAGAATTTGCCAAGAGGGCATTTTGGGCTGTTTGGTCTCGTCGAAGTGATATCGGCCTGATTGGAGCTGGTATCGATGCTGAGTCTGGGAAGTGGGTGAACTCCTATACAGGTGTGAGTAAGGATTCTTTCGCATTTTATCTCGTGTGAGATGTCAACTAACCTGGTAATTTACATAGATCGGTGCTGGAATTGACAGTTTTTTCGAATATGCATTGAAATCTCATATCTTATTATCTGAGGGTGATCGCCCGCAATTTAACCTGTCTAGCCCGTTTCATAAATTTGATGACTTTTACGCCCCTCTTAGCGAAGAGGAGCATTCGCCAGATGCATTCCTTAATGCCTGGGAGGAATCTCGAGCATCCATAAAACACCATCTATATCGCGGCTCCGGCTACCAACACCCTCATTATGTCCAAGGCGACATCATCACCGGAGCTACACGCGCATTTTGGATAGATAGTTTAAGCGCCTATTTCCCGGGCCTTCTAACTTTGTCTGGAGATGTGGATGGAGCTATCGAAGCTCATTTACTACACGCTGCGGTTTGGACTCGATTTTCTGCTTTCCCGGAACGGTGGAATGTTGCTACAGGGAACATTGAAAACGGCCTTGGATGGTGGGGTGGTCGCCCCGAATTTATCGAGTCTACGTATTACTTGTATAGGGCGACCAAAGATCCGTGGTATCTCCATGTTGGGGAGATGGCACTGCGGGATATCAAACGCAGATGCTGGACCAGGTGTGGCTGGGCTGGTCTTCAGGATGTTCGAGACGGGCAGTTAAGCGACAGGATGGAAAGCTTCTTTCTTGGGGAAACTGCAAAGTATCTGTTTCTACTTTTTAATCCTTCGCACCCCCTTAACGACCTTGATGCTCCGTTCGTCTTCAGCACTGAAGGTCATCCCCTTATCATCCCGAAATCGCCGGTGAAAACTACCAAGAAGAAGATAAAACTAGCAAGCCCACAAAATGTTGACACGCAACGTGACTCTGGAGCAACATGTGCAGTGCCAGCTCCACTTTTACCCTTGGGCTGCTCTTCGATTGCTGGGCGGCCTGATATTTTCCATGCAGCGAGCCTCGCAAGATTGCACCTGATGCCGGCTCGGCCGGAGGTTGACTCACCCATCGTCGAATATGCCATCGATCATCCAAGAATCTCGATGTCCGACCTAATTTCGCCATCAAACTACACATACTTCCCATGGACACTGCCACTGGAGGTTATTCCACCCGAAGCGACAAGTGCACCAATGGCTGTCAGACCAACCCTTGACCTTACGTTCCCACCATTTGCCAACACGATCTTTAGCCCTGGATCCTTGGAGCGAGTGCAAGACGGAGTTCTCGTGAAGTCCATTGGCGGCCTTCGCCTGGGTATGATCCAGGATGTTCCGTTATTTACGGACGGGTCGTCAGCAAGCACCGAAGGCTATCGCGTCCAAATTATTAATAACTTTCCACTCGGAAAGGATGAAAAGGTTTATATCTCGAAGGAAGTAACGGATGCTTTGAACTCCGAAGATCCAAACTTCACAAGGGTGCAGGATTCGACGCTGTTGGACGTTGTCTTGGATCTCAGATCCGAAGTTGCACCTAATGAAAACGTGTCGTCAACACTGACAGCCGCTACAAATAGTGAAACAATAATAGGTGAACTTGATGACTTTCACGCGTCCTTCGACGCATCAACTTTTGACGCGTCAAATATGAAACTAGCCTTCGCATCCTTCTTCAATCAAGTCACTTCCCTTCTCCGAGATGACTCTGACTCAACGCTGAGCTCGTTTTCGTCTCGGAAACCCACCATCCGCATTACAATTCCCGCAACTACTTCCACCGGCAAGGGTTCAACATCACTACCTGATGTTGAAGAGGCGCTGCTCTCCCCATCAACCGTATCGAAATCCAACAAAGGCAAAAAGCTGGTTAACCGCCTTCCATGGTCCACCATATACGTCGCAGATGAGCTCTGCGACCATCGACTCCCCGCCGTCGTACCCAGAACACACCATATAATCGTCATAAAACGCGGCGGATGCAGCTTTTCCGCCAAAATCAAGAATATACCTTCCTTCCGCCCCACGAGTGATTCCCTCAAGCTTGTGATCATTGTTTCGTACCCTCAACCGGGCGATCGCCCGCCGTCTTCTTCGTCTACTTCCAGCTCCGGTACGGATCCTGATACCCCCACGAACTCCGTCGTGGATACAGAGGAGCCTTATCTTATCCGTCCTTTGCTCGACGAAGTACAAACTGTGGCTGGCGGAATTCCCCGCCCGAATCCGCTAAGTGTGATTCTTGTTGCCGGCGGCGATAAGACATATAACTACTTTAAGCATGCCGTGGGCGTGGGCCTTCGAAGGCGATATGAGATTAGGTCGCAGGGCGTACCAATTGGTAACCTAATTGTGATATGAGCTTTCTGTTTATATACGTCAGACCTCAATTTTTCTCTTTCTTTATTTCAACTTTTCTTTCTATTCCTTATATGTAATATACTTTGCCGTACTATTTAACTATTTTGGATCTTCTTGTGATGATAATTTTTTTATATTCGGACACGGGGTCTCTTTGGACCCTTCTGTTCTTTGTGGGATATATATATTTGCTTTCTGGTTGTGACTTGTGAGACAGGTTCCATTTTGTTTTAGATATCCCATTGTAAGGAAGGATGAACTGCTCGAAAATGAAATACTGATCACTCATATTCTCTGCTTGTTGGGTTTTGAGCGCAGTGAGCATGGTGAACGGGGCCCAGCGGGTGGCTTGAATAATTTCATTTGTTCTAACAATAAGGCGGAGAATTTCCTGTGTGGATACGGCTAATCTGGAGAGCTTCGGGAGGATTACTTTCTGTGGAACAAGCGTTCCTCCTATGGGGCGCAAGATGGCCAAAATACTATTCCAGCCAAAAGGGACGCCTCAAATTCCCTCCACGAGTAGCGGTCGGTTATTCCAATACAGGAGCCGCAGATTTAAAAGCACAGTGATGAGAAACAGGTGCAATTTTCTGGCGCTGTCGCCTTTGGCACAATGGGGCCTTTTCTCTCATTCTTTGCTTGGCCTCTGAAAGCCTCCACGTTTATTCTCGCACTTAAAAAGTCAATGTTTTTCTCGTATTCTCCCGAGAATCCGTGCATATCATTGACCACCCAAGAAGCTGATGCATTGCACACTTCGCACTCATCAACGCCCTTGTCCTCATGTGCTTCAAACCGGTGAAGCTATATCCTGATATAGCTAGTCGCAAGCTCTTTTTTCTTTTTGCAAAACGGCGATTCGAGGGATGCGGGACGGACGATATTTGTCCAATCACGGCTCGTCCAGCTAGTTCGCCGCCCCTAGAACTAAAATCTAGATATCCGCCTACAAAGTCTTCTTAAAAAGATTCCAGGTTTTTGTTCAATCGATAGCGTTCTCCACGCGGAAAACAAATGCGGGGTTGGTGCAATGCATCGCCCCGAGGATCGACTTTCGTGAATGGGGCCCGGGAGCGGATTTCGAGGTTCTCAGTGTGCAATGAAAGGTGTCTTAAACATCGGGGTTCCCTTCGACCCTCGCTTTCGAACATGAGACCGTCTCTTCTTCAATCTAGTGGACTATGCAATTGTCTTGAATATAGCATAAGGCCGGTCAGGATGGGATACAGTGCTTCAATGATATTGATCAGACTTCTTGATTGAATTGGTTGTTAATGAGTACATTTAAAGGTTCCTATTGCGAATTTCTCAGGCCTCCGGCCTATTGCCTATCATGTATTATGTTCCCCCCGAAGTCAGGGCAACATGGCCGGCTCCAAATTACGAAAACCCTGAACCGCGTGGCCTAGGGTTGATTCTTACTGTTCTACTTTTTCATATAATTGGCACCATAATGGTAATCCTGCGATGGTATACAAGAACGAGGATAAATTTAGCTTTGGGGTCGATGATGTTTGGATTCTTCTAACAATGGTAAGCATAAAACATAACCCCGAAACATTATCTAATTGGAGGGAGTTGACACAGAATAGATTCCTAGTACCGGGCTTGCTGGATGTGTTCTGACCGCAAATATCAGCTATGGTTGGAACTGACATATTTGGGACCTTGAAGTCGATAAATTCAAACCGGGCATGCAGCTAGCTACGGCTTGCTATGTTTTATTCGCCCTTGCTACATCCACTACAAAGTTGTCCTTGCTTGCTTTCTATAGGAGACTCCTTTCGCCACATTCCTACAAGAGTTATAAATGGGTCATCCTTATCATGGAAATATTGTCAGTTATTACAGCTTTGGCATACGCTTTTGGCGTGCCGTTTTTGTGCAAGTATGACACCTTGATTGTTTCTTATTCAACATGCTATGGAATTATTCGTATTGACGACCCTAGGCCAATAGGTGCTGCTTGGGATTTTACACCCCCTCTCTATAGACCAGTGTATAACTATCACTGCACCGACCGGTTTACTGTCACATTTGCAGCCTCCATCTTGAATGCAGTCCTTGATTTTCTCACAATGCTAGTCCCAATACCGATCGCCTGGCAGCTTCAACTCCCTATAAGCCAACGGCTGGCCGTGATTGCAATATTTTGTGTAGGAGCTATAGTCGTCGCGGCTAGCTGTGTAAAGACCGGTTATATTGTTACCGCGATGAGAGAAAGTTACGATGAGCAGTTTGATGCCTATCCATTGTGGATTATGAGCATCATTGAAATTGATCTCGGCATTATATGTGCTTCTGCCCCAGCGCTATGACCATTAATTTCACGATATATTCCCAAAGCTTTTGGCACCATGTCGCGCTCTCGTTTCTCCCGCCGGCGAATGCTGTTATCCATAAATTCAGTGGCCCTTTCTGACGGGAATCAATATATAAGTGATCCCTCAACTTACAAGCCTATGATAATGGAAAAGCCTCGTACGGCAAAAGCATACTCCGTGACAGGAAGCTGCAAATCCAGCAAATCAATACCATCAATACAATCTCCCACTACCGCCAACAACATAGGGTTTCCTGATGACGTTATACCCCCTGATACATCTGGAATGGAGTCAGAGTATGACTCCATTTCGCAAAAGGTCGGCGTTCAATTTACCCCTTCCCCAACATTTCCTGAGCCCTATTATTCCAGAAGCCAACATTCCCGGAAGGCTTCAGGAGGCTCACTGAAGAGTTACGAAGATGATGTACAAGACGGAGGGCGAAGCGGAAGCACATTTCAGGGATCTTCTGGTATGAATGATTATATACTTGATGATATCGACAAGCAGGATGAACCCACTTAGAAACCCGTTAGAGGTCCTTTGGACCGGGAAGAATGTGGCCAGCACTAGGGCGATGAGGAATGGAATCAAATGACGGGATTTCAGAGCACAAGGATCAGCACTGATTGGCTGGTTCATCACATAATGTCTTATATGAGAATCAGGTTGCAAATTAGGGATTCACATGCTTTTTGAAGTGTGGCGTTCTTTGAGGTGATGGATATCATGGCATTGGTTTAACTAAAATATCCGAACTTGTTGACGGTGTATATAATAATGTACAGTGTATTTGCTTTTTCCTCATGCAAATTTGCCAAGGGGTTATGCCCTTCACTTTTTTTTTTTTCTTTTTTGCGAAAATCTGGCGAGAAAATATTAAATGTCCTTCACTTATTTCTCCACTTTTTGAGAAGGATTGATATCTAGCTAAGAAGAGAGAGACTTTGAGAACTATATATTCAGGGCCTGTTCGGTGCATCTGTACTTTTTGAATGCAATAGTGAATCTCATTAAAAATAGTGTATTTACCAATTATTAGTAGCAAGCTGATGTTGTGTCATTACACTATTTCATCTTACTCACTGCTCTGAGATAAAGAAAGAAAGGTTATAAAAACAAATTCTTTTTAAACTGACTCTGTGTAAGAAATCCCACTCCTCGCGGATTCTTTACCTCTATTCCTATCTCTCATGTAATTAATAGAGTTAGCAGCCCTTGACTACACACAACTATATAGACTGGAGTTCATGAACACTATTCATAACTCAGCTTGAATACTATTATATATTTAATTTCTACATTTTATCTTTCTACTGTGAATACTTTTAGTAGTTAATAGTATATATTCTATCAAGCTACAAACATCTGAATAATTATCTGTGAGCACTTATTCTTATATTTCAAGCTCTGTCAGTCAGTAATTATCTATTATAACTGAAAGAATTAGAAACTTATATACTTTAATCTCTATAAACTCTACTGCAGACACTCAGAAGCAGGTATTTAAATCATGAATAACTCTTATAAAAGAAGTCTTAAAGAACTTATTAATTACTTATAGAATATTATTCTCTATATCTATAACAGAGAAACTCTCTAAGCTTATAAATAAATCAATCTTAGTAAAGAATATTCTTAAGTATCTTTTATAAAATTAAGTTATTTTTTTATAAATACTTACTATCTGTAAACACTCTTAAACTAAGTCTTTAGATATAATTTTTAAAAATATCTATAAACTGAGAAGAAACTTTCTTAAATTATAACTACTTAAGATTATCTACTGAATTATAATCTATAAAAGTTTTTATAAGTTTGTATTTAAAATTAACTTACAAGCTCAGCTATGTAATATAAAAGATGAAGAAGCTATTATTTATATAATAATAGATCTTTACTACACTAAAGTAAAGAACTGACTGAATTATTTAGAAATAATTATAAGAGATTTCACTGATTTATTCTGAAAATTTATTTAAAGAATAAGTTAAAAGACTTTATAAGCTGAATAAAGAATATTTAAGCTATAATTATTAATATTAGAAAAAAAGATAAGAAATCTGATAAAGACTACTTACAGTACTTTATAAAATTATAATATAAATTAAGATCTGTGAAAATAAAGCTCTGAAACAAGATCTCAATAATAATATTTATAAAGAAATTAAATAAAAATATATAGAATAAGTGTATTAAATAAGACTTTAAATTCTTAACTTTAAAAAAACTGATAACTTTTATTTACTATTTATAGATTACTGTAAGAGTTATAGACTTATAGAGAGTGAATTATTAATTAGTTTTATAAAAATTAGAATATTAGAGAATAGATTTATTAGAAAAAGATAATAAAATATAGAGAGATTTATATCTAATTACTAAGTAAAGAGAAAGAGCTTTATCAGCTTCTATAAATAAAGTATATAATAGAGAGATTAAGAAAAAGAGTCTCTACTTTATCTATTCTAAATCAGAATATCTTTATATAAACTATCTGAATAAATTAAAATAGAAAATGAAGAAGTTATAGACAGAGTTAATAATAGTCTTTTTAAGAATTTTAAAGTTAATATCTGAATCCATTACTTCTTTAATAAAAATATATACTTATAAAGAGAGACTGTACTGTGATATTATTACTCTATAAGTATAAAAAGTATTAATAAACTCAGAGTTTCAGATTACTATAGTATCTCTGAAGCTTACAGAGTAAATAAACTAAGTGATAAAAACTGAGAATTTACTCTTATAATAAGCAGAGTATAAGAACTTAGATCTGAGAGTTAAGAGACTTATAAGAGTTATCTTTGAATTATAAGATCTCTCTAAAACTTGAAGAAGATTTACAGAAACTGTGATTATTATAAATATCATAGATAATATATACTTAAGACTTGTATAACTTTAAAGATATAATTTATATATAACTGTTTATAAGTCAGATTTATACTTCTGATCAGTGTTAATAGACTTACTTATAAAGATAGAATCAGTTAATACTACAGAGTTAATTAGAGAAGATAAGCTTATCTATATAATAACTTTATAAATATTTGAGAACTTTGCAGTTATAAAAACTAAGCTTCAGATATTAAAGAAATACTAAGATCTTATAAAGATATTCAGTTCAGCTAAGATAGCTGAGGTTTTATCTTACTATAAGAAGAATCTGATAATAAATCTGATAAAAGAGTAGAAACTCTTCTGAAAATTAATCTATAAGCTCTATTATTATAAGATAGAGATCTTATAGACTTATATAAAGAAGAATTTGAAGAATAACTTTATTCAATCTTCATAGATCTCTGCAGAAATCTCTGTGATATTTATAAAGAAAAAGAATAAAGATCTCAGATTATATATAAACTACTGTAATCTGAACTTTAAGATAATAAAGAGTTACTATTCTCTATCTATAATTAAGAATATAATTAACTATTTCACAGAAGCTGTTATATTTATATAACTGAATATAATTAATATATATACACAGCTGTAAATACAGGCTGAGAATGAATAAAAGACCTTTAAAACTATATTAAGATTATTTAAATATTTAGTAATATCTTTTAATTTGACTAATACTTCTACAGTATTTTAGTCTTTTATTAATAAAATACTTCATATATATCTGAATGTCTTTGTGATAATATATCTAGATAATATAATAATGTAGTTTATAAAGAAGAAAGAATACACTGAGTATATATAAACTGTATTAAAGATCTTAGATGAGATAGAACTGTATATTAAGCTTATAAAATATAACTTCAGTACTTATTAAATTAATTTTCTAAAATATAGAATTACTGTAAATAATATTCAGATGAAATCTTTATAAGTTAAGACTATTCTATTATAATCAGAGTTAACTAGTATTTATAAGATTCAGATCTTTCTAAGCTTTATAAATTTTTATAAATAATTTATCTTTATCTTTATAAGAATCTTCTTAACTCTTACAGATATACTGAAGAGTAAATGTAAGAAATTCAGCTTCTTGCAGATTCTTTACCTCTATTTCTATCTCTTATTTAATTAATAGAGTTAGCGGCTCTTGACTACATACAACTATATAGACTGAAGTTCACAAATACTATTTATTACTCAGCCTAAATGCTATTATACATTTAATCTCTATATTTGATCTTTCTACTGTGAATACTTCTAGTAGTTAATAGTATATATTATGCCAAGCTGTAAACACTTGAATAATCACTCATGAGTACTTATTCTTACATTTCAAGCTCTGTCAGTCAGTAATTATCTGTTATAACTTAAAGAACTAGAAACTTATATACTTCAATCTCTGTAACTTCTACTGTAAACACTCAGAAGTAGTTATCTGAATTATAAATAATCTCTATAAAAGAAGTCTCAGAGAACTTATTAATTACTTATAAGATATCATTTTCTGCATCTATGACAGAGAAATTCTTCAAGCTTATAAATGAATCAATCTTAGTAAAGAATATTCTTGAGTATCTTTTATAGAATTAAGCTATTTTTCTATAAGAAATACTTACTGTCTGTAAACACTTCTAAACTAAGTCTCTAGACATAATCTTCAGAGATACTTACAAACTAAAAAGAAACTTTCTTAAGTTATAACTACTTAAGATTATTTACTGAATTATAATTTATAAAAGCTTCTGTGAGTTTGTATTTAAAATTAACTCACAAGCTCAGCTATATAACATAAAAGATGAAAAAGATATTATCTATATAATAACAGATCTCTACTACACTGAAGTTAAGAACTGACTGAATTATCTAAGAAATGATTATAAGAGATCTCACTGATCTCTTCTTAAGATCTATTGAAAGAATAAGTTAAGAAACTCTGTGAGCTGAACAGAGAATATCTGAACTGTGATTATCAATATTAGAAAAAGAGATGAGAAATCTGATAAAGACTACTTATAGTACTTTATGAAATTATAATATGAATTAAGATCTGTGAAAACAGAGCTCTGAAACAAGATCTGAATAATAACATTTATAAAGAGACTGAATAAAGATATACAGAATAAGCTTATTAAGTAAGACTTTAAGTTCTTAACTCTGAAGAAACTGATAACTCTTATTTATTACTTACAGATCACTGTAAGAGTCACAGATCTGTAGAGAGTGAATTATTAACTAATTCTGTAAGAGCTAGAATAACAGAGAACAGATTTACTGAGAAAAGATAATAAGATATAGAGAGACTTATGTCTGACTACTAAGTAGAAAGAGAGAGCTTTACAAGCTTCTATAAACAGAGTATATAATAGAGAGACTATGAAAAAGTAACTCTATTTTATTTATTCTAAATCAGAATATCTCTGTGCAAACTATTCTGATAAATTAAAATAGAAATTTAAGAAGTTGTAAACAGAGTTAGTAATAGTCTTCTTAAGAATCTTGAAACTGATATCTGAATCTGTTACTCTCTTAATAAAAATATATACTTATGAGAAGAGACTGTGCTGCAGTACTACTATCTTATCAGTATAAAAAGTATTGATAAACATAGAATC